GGGGGAAGCTGCCTGCCCGCCGGCCGCTGCCTCCGCTTGTCCGAAGGCAGGCGAAAGGCCCCGTCTGTTACCGACACCGCAGCCCTTAGAGTGCTGAAGCTTTGGACATTTCCTTATTTTAACGGCAGCAACGGCTCCCGGTTCATAATGCCGAGTGTGAGATCCGTGCTGTTAGACACGCAGAAGCGACGCTGCTGAGGAAACCCGGCCAACAAAATAGTCTTTAAGCGTGACTGAAACCCACCCTTCACCTCCAAGCCAGAAGAAAAAGCGTGAAACCCGTGTAACGCAGCCCGCCAGATACTACTCCTGTTACTAAAATGGAGTGTATAACCCGGGGGAGAACCTAGGATTTCACGGGCTTGAAAGATCGCCCCCAAAACGTCCTTGTCTCATTAATTAGGTAAAGCTAATCGCCTCCCTTCTCCACGGGAAGGATGCCTCCCCCCCACGCACATCACCGCCGCTGTGCTGTACACCAGGCAGGTGAAGGACTAGACAGAAAACAATTACAGTAACAGTTAAAATAGTTATTGGTCCAGCAGCGCCCTACCACAGGGACATTACAGCCCATGAAAGTTGAATCAAATGTGATGCAGACTTGGTTTAATGAAGTATAGGCTGGAGTAAAAAAAAAAAAAATTTAAAAAAAAATCATGTTTATGGAAAAAATCTAATTGCATTTTATATTCTTATCAATCATTCTCCATTCATTAATCATTTGACATGCTAACGGTGCGGTTGTGTTGATTAAGACAGACTGCCCTTCCTAATGCCATACCTCCATGGTCACTTGTTAAATCTCTAGATAACCACTTGAAAAGGAGGTTATTCAGTTACAATTAAAGACATTGTTAACATTCTAGCTATTTATTTCAATGGACCTTTCAGATTAAGTCCACTCTACCAAAAATAAACACAACTCATCACAGTATTTTGTATCATCAATATATTAGCAACTGTTGAGAAAAAGTCCTCCATTGCACATGGAAAGAGTTGCCTGTTAAAGTAATGAGATGAATAACAAAGTTAAAAACTTGTACTTGAGAAAACACATACAGATAATTATTGTCAAAATAAGATTGCACAAACAATATTTTGCATGGAATACAAAAGGAAATTGTATGGGTTTTGTTTATGGAAAATATAGTTAAGAATAAAAATACATATTTCAAACTTCTTTACATCTGGATGAAAGTTAAGACTATTAAAGTATAAACTACTGAAGATTTACAGATTAGGAGAGTCAGAACTATTACACTTCCACAATTGTAAAGAGTACACATTACTTGTATCCTGATCAGTACATTATTGCATTGTCCATAAAGTCCATTTTTGAAAGTTCCATGTGTCCAATTTAATGTTATCCCTCTGATGTTTAGCAGAGTCCCACATGAAATTCCCAACTAAGTTCTAACCTTCCCCTTTGAAGCCCAGAACCCACAAGACATTTGTGCAAGCATATACCTCAGTTCCCTGCAGTAGCAAGAGCCTCAAAAAGCACTTGAGGAATGGTGCACCCTTGCTTTTGCCCCAGCTGCCACGACTGGACTAACTTCTGCGCTGCACTGGCCGGCTGCTGGAACTTCAGCGCCTCAATGTACAACTGTTTGGGAGGACAGTTTATTCAACTGGGGTTTTTTTGGTTTTCTCCAGAAGTGTATGGATTTTTTAAAAAAATTGAGCTTGCATGAAACCTTAAAAATAAATGGTTCTGTATTTGACTTTCATCTCATCGCATGTCTGGTGGAAGTAAGGCTTTTGAGAAGTAGCAGCAGCTTCACAGATTTCAGATCCACTCAACTTTTCCCATAAGATCAGACAGCAGTAGCAACCATGAAGAAACCAAAAAGTATATGTACAGTAATGCCAAGAAAATGGCTCTACTGAAAACATAGCAGGTTCTTAGGAATACTATCCCTTGTGTGCACTTATTGCGTGATGTCCAACAATCCAAGTATTCCTATGAAGAAAAGGTCATTTGAAATTCAGTCACTGCAAAAGCCGCCTTCGCCTGACATGTTAGCTTGTTTGGCCTAGCAGCACAGCTTCCTGTGAAGAAAATGGAACATTTGAGGACTAGTAGCATGGTACTGATCTACTAGCTTCTAGATTATGGTTACTCGACTTCAGTTCTGTGTCATGAAACAGTTCATGGGGAGTTTGTGCAACACAAGACTAAGCCCAGACTGACTTCAGAGCTGTACAGCAGTACTGCTAGTCATCTTTGGGAGAACTTTAAGCAATATTATTTTCTATACCTAGATTCCTTAAAAAAAAAAAAAACAAAAAAAAAAAAAACAAAAAACGTTTGAGCTATTGAGCTAAGACACTGCTAAGCCATCAGCTTAAAACATATAAGAATAGATGGAAAAATGAAAATCTGACAGAATACTAGAAGTCAATAATGGCTTTCCAGGTGTTAAAGAGTTGTTTTTTTTTAAAAACATGTCTGAGCCTAGAACAATACCATAATTCTATCTGTCGATCTACATTACAGTGGTATTCAAACGAAACCATGATTCCAGTATCACTTTCTGTCAGTTTGAGGTTTCTTTCCCAGCTGCTCTCACAAACACACTGTAAGGCAGGACTGGACACGGACGGCTGGACGTGGTGCCTGAGGTTCTGCTTCTCGCCCCGCGTGAACGTGCAGTTCATCTCTCTATGATCCAGTGTGGCCTCATAACTAGAGAGACATTCCTCTTAGTCAGCGGAGGAGAGGCATGCATTGCATTACTTGACACGTAGACTGCCTCCCTTGAGGCATGCAGCCAGCTTCGCTTCCTTTTTACATTTCCTACAAATGCTCTGAGATACAAAAACTCCATTCTCAGGAAGTTTTGCCTGGTCAAGTCTCTGGAAGCCACTGTTATCCTGACCAACTGGTCCAACACCTTATTCTTCTTGCAGCTGGATAACTCTTTGAGGTTGATAGGCTTTGACCGTGCATAAAGAATCCGAAATTCCAGGTCAAAGTGTGCAACTGCAGGGCCTGACAGGATCAAAATGTTGCTGCTGTTCAGCTTCCCATCTGTCCATGTAAAACTAGCAAAGGAAGAATGAGAAAATTGAAGAGTTAATTGAAAATAAATAGCAAACAGCGTATTAACTGAAAATTCTCTTTCATCGCGTTTAGTTAGATTGTTCTTCTAATCCAAATGATGAGCAGCGTGCTCTTTTTAGGACAAACATTACAAATAAACTGTGATAAGGAAAGCAGTTTTGCAATGTGATTGTTTTTCCTTTCCACGTAAAGAAATCACGTAAAGCAACAGAAGGGAATTGGCACTTGCCTGTAGGAGCCCGTTGTCACTCTAATGCCATCAATTAACATGAACTTTTCACGGACTTTTCCAACAATTTTGGCACCCGACCTCGTGTAGTATATGTTCCCAGTGATATTTCGAATTCTCATCAACTGTTAAAGATACGGCAAGCATTATGTGGATTTCAAAGTTAACAACTGTATTTAAAGGAGTAACAGACAACAATAATTATCACTGGTGCTCTAGCAAAGGCTGCTGCGTGGTGGCACAAGATTCACCCTCTAGGACCAAATGATAATTTTGTCTTGTTTTAGTAGGCAGAGAGGTGACATTAAGGGGCAGGCCCATAAACTGTGCAGAATGTGATTATAAAAACTCCTGTCACCAAATCTTATCCACAGACTCCTGAGAATCTGCTTCTCCATCAGCCTTCAAAGTCTCAGTGAGCCCAAGCAACTCCAGTCGTGCTTTAGGAACTGCACGTCCCTCCTGCATTTCCTTGAATATTCAGTTAGTATTTGTGCTCAGAAAGCAACTGCAACAGCCACTTACAAAGATTCCAGTTTTTCTATTAATTGCCTTCTTACACAAGAATGGTTGAATCTTCCAAGAAGGAGCTAGAGCTACATAAAACCCATGTTAAGTTGTAGCAGCAAGCAAAACAGTTTGTTCTTTCAATAGCTCATAGATTACAGTCATGAGAGGATCGACCCTCTATCCTTATAAATATGACAAGGCTCACCTTTTCCCGTTCCAGGTCAACTCCCAGATCCTTGCACATTTTTAGAAAGTGGGAAAATGAAGACTGATCTAGAAGGATATATGCTTTAACTTGCCGCTGGCTACAAGCTTCCAAGAGGTCTCTGAAGATATCGGTATCCGTGAAGGAATCCATAACCAGGGCAATCATCTGCAACAAGTTTCAGAAGAAATCATTAGGCGGTTTCCACAGCATCCCACGGGAGATAGCACATGAGGAATTTGACTTTCAAATTAAATATTCCCCTCCCCCCCCTTTTTTTTTCCTGGTGGTTATGGAACATGGTAGAGCCTTCTGTGCTACGGTGAATTCTTCTGTTGTTCACAGGACTGCTGAAACATTTAACAGATACATAAGAGAAGAGAAAGTTAAAAATAACTCTGATGAGAATACAGTTTTGTGAGGAGAATAGTATTTTGGTGAAGTTGTACACTGAGGCACGGGAGACGCTTTATACATCGTCCCTTCACTATGATCACTTATTCACATCCCTGTAGAGTTAAATAGAGAAAAAAAAAATGAATTTACAAGAAATTGTTGTTAAAGATTATTTGCCCCAATTTTGTTGCCACTTGACTGACTTATAGCATATAACATCATTTAAGATTTTTATTATCACATTGTAGAATTCTGGGCTTTATTACAATTTTAGCAGCAGACATTGTAGCTTCTTTTGCCAGGATCTGTGTCTTTCTTGGTTCATTAGGTACAAGCAATCTAGCCTGAAAGCCTATTGTGGAAAGACACCTTTTATCTACTTAAAAATCAGAGTTCATCACTAATTAGCAGCAATGATAGCTCTGCATCTGTTCAGTAGCATGTTGCTGACGGTTTTTAATTCAGGTTGTACTAAACCCTTCCTTTTTTTTACTATATAACTTCACTTGTGTAAAAAATTACAGAAATCGGAGCATTTTCTCCTTTCGCCCTGCGTCTAGAGCAGTGCCAAGATGTACCAAGGCAGCAGGAGACTTGACACCTCTCCAAAAACCTGAGTGAGCTGATAAAAAAAGTATTTTGCATGAGGAAAAGAAAGACATTTTGCCATCAGTCACCTTCAGCTACATCAGTAACTTCTGGTGAAACAGAAGCACCAAGCTGATCGTGGAGATGTTTGGAGGTGCTGAGAATATCTCAGAAGAACCAGAACAGTGGCAAAATAAATTTATTGCTTCAGGTTTCTTCCTCACCCTGAGATATGGCAAAAACAGGGGTCTAGTTCTGTGTTAGACAAATTTGATCTCAGATTCCTAGGCAAGAGGATTTTTTCCTGACAACAGATGTCTTTTCCTCCAAAGCATTGCCTGAAGAAAAAGCTGAGCTTACTTCCAAAACTTGACTTTTCCAGAGTCTTTCAGACTTCTCAAATATGAAAAGAAACAAAAAAAAAAAAAAAAAAAAGAAAAAAAATTCACTGCTGTCTGACTGCTCTTTACATCTCGCCACCCTATTCAAGGTAAACATGAGATTTCTCTTCGACTTGTTACTCAGATTCTTGGGGTATTTCAAGCCAAGCTTTGGTCATTCACCCAAACTCCTTGAGTACTCCCCCCCC